TTAATGTTATCATTATCATTCTAGCACAGTTTACGCTGTTATTGCGGCCTGTTTTATCATCGTACACTCAGGAGGGTTTACTTCAATGTTAACTCTTGAGTGCATGGCGGACTTTTTGCACATCTGCTGTTGGCTGTCATCTTTGCGGCGCTCGATGACGGCCGCTGCTAACGCTGGGGCTCCATCAGGTGGAGAAGCAGGTGCCTTCACACCTGCAATGGAAGCTCTTACTGAACTTGTGGAAGGGGACTGAGTGTCCGCCGGCCTACGTGGAACGAAAATGTTAACTGTATTTTACATAAGACCAAAAAGCAACATAATCAACTTACTCGCATTGTGCTTAATTTTCATAAGAAATATTAAAGATTCTTCAAGAAATGTAGCCATCCATTAATAGGCAGGGACAGGGAGTCATGCATTTCTCAGTCTTACACAACTGTGGAAGTTTAACAAAAAATATCGACATTTTCAACCCGTAATAAAGAAAACAGTTATCATCAAAACCTAAGTGGACTTTTGGTGTGTTGGCAGAAGACGTGGAAGGTCACGCTGTGGGTAAACTATGAAAGAATGGCACCGAGAGACCCAAGTCAGATCAGTTCAGGTCAAACAGAATTGTTTTAGTTATACCAGCGACTTATACTGGGTCTACGGACAACAGTAACTACACAGACCCATGCACATGCTGACAAAGTAGATTCAACCACCATCACAGGCTGTTGCAGGATACAGCTTGTCTGATCTTCGATAATCTGATATTTAAACCATTGCCGCCACAACTTTTACCAGTTAAACAGAAGGGAAAATCCAAATTATTTGGTAATGACACCAAAAAGCAGTTGGAACATTGCAGGATAAATTAATGAATTTTTACAATTATAACAGCAAAATCAACAACTGCCTTTATTGCGTCCAAAATCCATCTGTCAGCTGCGGTCTGTCCAGTAACGTAAGGATAACATTTAGGATGGTAAATTAGAATTCAGATGACTCAGACCTTTGTCTTCCTCACTGAAATGCTGCCTTTGTATCTGAGGAGGACGCCAAAGATTTCAGTATGAGGTAATAGGCTTAAAAACACTGTAATACTCTGCACGGGCCTGCTGCACCACCTGTTTCCTCCAGGTAGACGAGTTTCCTGCCAGAATGAATCAGTTCAGTGCAAGGCTGTGCAGTTTCAGTAAAGGCACCGACCGGGGGGGGGGTGGCACTATCCTACTAGAAATGACTGGTAATGAAAGTGCAATGTGAGAGCAGAGCAAAGATCGCCTGAAAGTATTGTGGTGATGTGCTGATTTTTCAGTCTTACACTTTCTGGGTCGGTGCTGTTTTGTCTGCTACTTACAGTAAATGTTAATTTCATCGCTGATTCACTCATTGCCTGTGCGCTTCAGCAGCTGATGCAAATAAACACATATCACTGGCCATCAGCATCAAAGCACAAAAAATATTACTAATCCATGTTGACTCGACGTCTGATTTTTGTGAATGGCCTGATCTCAATTACAAACTTTGCCTCACTCAAGGCAACGTTGGTAACCAACCCATGCTGGTTGAGAGCGGACCGGCCACACACAGTAGTCATGGTCACTGCACACCCTCTCATCTGTGTAAGAACTTTGACTTATTTTGCTGTCCATGGAAAGTGTTATCTTGGGCGGCTCGCTACAGGAAGCCGTGTTTATCACTTCCTCACAGTTGTAGTTTGTTTAGGGCTTTGCCGTGCGCTCAGATTGCATCGAAGCCGGGTCTTTGTGCCTTGCGCTGATCAGAAGCATAGGCACGCGGGATTCGCTATCAAGTGTCGCATATGTTCTCGTGTATGAAAACAAAGTCTATCAGGAGGTGACAGATCTCTCGGTCGGCCTCCTCGCAGCCCTGGCCCTGTGTTGCCTGGCATTATTTCAGAAAGCGGGGTTTCACTTCTCCTTTCTGAAAGAGCACGATGACACAGAAACGCCACGGTGCCATTTCACAACGCAGCAGCCGGCGAGCGTGAGCTGACACGACGAGGCGGGTCAAAGAGGAAACGGCATTAGCTTCGTGGGGCAGACAATGAGCCAGATTAGAAGATCATTCTCCCTTTTCACTCTCTATATTATGCTGGTGTTGCCCTATAATAACTGCAGCCACATATCAAAAGTGAAGAGTTCAGTGCCTTTCTTTGGGTCTACAAAAATTCTGATTTGCTTCCTTAAAGGGTAACACTTTACTTGACGTGGCACAAATATAGTATTATGCTATTACTTATGTATTAATTAACCACAAACTAAGTCTTAGTTACAGTCTAATCTCACATGAATTCATCATTAATTAATCAAGCAATTACTATATTTGTTACTATATCGGTTAATTCTGTAAACCTTTCTGAACTACTGAAGGAACAAGTAATGAATAACACAAGTTAAATACTAATCAGCCTGAATCGTGATGCATTTTATCTCCAGTAATGACTATATTTGTTCATAATTTGTTCATGGCTTGTACTTTAGTAATAACTTAGTTATTGCTAAGTATTTGTGCCCCGTCAGGTAAAATGTTACCATATAAATCATGGGTGAGGAACCTGTTCTATGGAGGGCTGCCATTGGTGCAGGTTTTTAGGATGACCTCTCAGTCAGCCAATAACAGTGGATCCCCAGGACTAGGGTTGAGACCCACTGCCTTATTATTGACTGACTGAGAGGTCATCCCCGGTAGCCCTCCATAGAACAGGTTCCCCACCCGCAATTAAAAGGTTCAGCTGTGATTAATTCAGCAGTCGACCTAAAGCCTTGTGATTGTTTCCTAAACAGATTCAATACAAGTAAGTGTAGTAATATTATATTAAATATGCTTCCTGAAGAGAATGAATTTGCAGAGAAAGACTGGGTAGTTAGTGAAGCACCAAGATGAGGAAATCTTTCAAAGCATCCTTACCTGGATGAGGGCCTCTGTGGGGGGCTGATGCACTTGCCTGATTGCCGGGAATGTTTTTAGGGACAAATATTTGTATTAGATCCCAGGTGATTAGTGCCAGAGTGAAATGTTACAGGTTCCTATCAGACTGGACGCTGGTCCTGAAGTGTCAGCCCCCCCCCCCCCACTTGAAAAAAGGCCACTTCATCACGGCCCCATTGTCGTGTGCCCCATGAAGGGTCCTTCCTGAGTCGAGATTCATGGGTGGGGGAGGGTTGGGTCCACAATGCTCCTTGAGGGCCCCTTGACGATCCTGTTGTATGACACAGATACACAAAGAGCTTTCAGAAGCTTTGCTGTACTTCGGGGGTTGGGGGGGCGCGGGGGGGACGTGTCCAAAAGCATGTGTGGAGTTAGACATCTTGCATTTATTGTTTTAGAGGCAAACCCGCACATAATTATCATACTGTTGGTGGGCTGGTGGAAGGTGATGCACACATTCCCAGCATGACCGATTTCAGAGTTATTCTGAGATTTTCCACAAAAAATAGCAAATTCCATTTGCAAAATTAAACATTTAGTAGACATGCCGACCGCTTCATAACAAGACTTGCATGAGACGGCATCATTTGCATCAAATACTTGTAATTAGGCAGTTTCACAGAACCGTTTTGCATATTCACTGAGTCAGACTAAGCTGGGCGCGTGGGTGTGCATGTAACACACTTATGCCAACATGATCATTTTCATATTCTGTTATTGAGGCCTTTTGCCTGTCCTAGTTTCCCGCTTCTGCCCTCTGCTGGAGAACCGCAATATTCCTAACCACAACTTTACTTTTTTTCTCTCTGGTGGAAAACAACAAAACCACATGTGAACAGAAATACCACCCGCACTTACAGACTTCGAGGCCAAACGGAGATATCTGAAATATTCTTGTGATATTTTGGCACGTCGATTCCTTTTGGCGAATCCTCACATAAACTGGGTAATATCGGGAAAAACGGGGAGCGTGACAAAAAACTGAAGTAACTTCAAACAGAAACAGTGTATAAATCGGGATTTAATTATTCCACCTAGATTTATGGAAGGGAAAATCTTCTGTTATTGCTGAAAAGGATGGTAAAGGAGAAAATAAACAATATTAACTTTATCATTCTTGTTATGCTCAACATAAACAAACAAATAAAGTATCACCCTACCTAGATAAACTCAACCCAGTTACAGAACAGTGAATTTGCAATATTAAACAAAAAACATTTTAATACAATTGCACCAAAAATAATACAATATTTAAGTATAATATTACTTTACCAAATGACACACTATCCAGAGGATGAGGTCAAAAAAATGTTGGTGTTAATGGTTAAAATAAATCATGGAAAGCTACTGGTGGAAGGGCAGAAAACAGTTAAAGAGAAGGAAGAATGAAGAGGTAGTGAAAAGGAACTCGGTGTGTCCCTCTGGGATGGTCGAGGCGATTCCTGTAACGTTTCGTTATCTGAGCATTTCTGCTGTGATGCAGCCCTCCAACTGACACTGTATCCGCCTGATAAATGACCTCTGGGAGAAATGTCAGGAAAATACTCCAGCTTTACAATGCCATCCACCCGCCTGCTGTTCCTGTACTTCAGACACATTTCCGTTACTGATGTGTGCAATCATAGGCGACTCCTTGTTTTTGCCAAAGCAATAAGGAAAGCTATTGTTAGAGATTTTGTTAGAAATCAAACGACGATTTGTTTAATGAAGAATGAATGTTAAAGTCATTTTTTAAAATAAGGCAATCAATAAAATGAGGTATAAACACATGTTTTGGAACTACAAGCAGGCTTTTGTTGCCTTTCTATAATCCAACATAACAGTGTACCAACAACGTATTGTAAAAAAAATAAATTAATCAAATCTTAAAAACAAAAAAAAACATAGTCTACACAGACGGGAATTAAATCATGGTGTCCGACTTATGAAGTACACGTTCATTAATGAAATACACAAATATGTGCAAATACCCCAGGCTTCATGAAAATATTTAACAAAAAAGCAATAAAGTCTGTCTCCGTGGATTCAAAGTTCCACAGATCACAAGGCCAGATTTATGCCTCTGCTGCTCTTTTTCTGCTGACCCTGGAAGGCGCGTTGTCCGGATTTCAGTGGGTCAGTGGGGGTCTCTGTCATACGCCTCAAACTCAGCAGTGCAGAAATGGCAAGCGACAGAACCAAGGCTCTGTCACTGAACAGCCCAGACAAGGAAGGCACTGAGGAGAGGGTCTATGGAAATGACTTTGCTGAGCTTGAATCAGTGGATTTGCCTTTAGGAACGACATTAAGGTAGGCCTAGTGGACACCTCAAACTAACCACAACGGCATCTACACTGTGATAATATCCTTCTATTTAGTGGCCCTAGAAAGTAGGTTACAACTTATTTCTCTGTATGAAGTAAAATGAATGGACTGTGATCTTTCCGAACAGGCTCATATTTAAACTACAATACCTCCAGGCATTTCCTGGTAACTTACAGAAGAAAGAAAAAAAGTCAAGTTTCTTTTTTAAGTGCTTGATAATATTTGTAGGCTGTTTCAATGGGGATGGATTGCATTCGAATTGCACTGAATTCATTTAATCCATATCATACAAAACTCTATAAAATGTGTTTTTAAAGACATAGGGGATTTCTTTGTGTTGTTACTGAAAATAATAATTCGTACCTGCAGGTGAATTAGGTAGATGTATGGAATATCATTCAATTTATTTCAAAGTTGCATCCTTCTCTACATTCTCCCTAAGCGATTACAGAGAAAAATATTCACATTACAAACTGCTTAACAGATAAAGGCATATGCAGTTAGTATATTGGAGGAAAAGAACAATAAAGAGGATCCCCAAACAGAGATGCATCCTAGCGTATCCGACCTTTGCGAAGTGCACCGCTTGTTGCTCGTCTCCTGCTCAAATAGGTACCGCAAAAACCCCAGCTGCGCACCTGAACTCTGCTGTCCCCGTGCGCCGCGCGCTCGCCCCCTAGCGGCCGCTCACCGCAACGGCGCCCGTCTCCGCAGTCACTCCGTCGCCGCCGATAATACAATCAACATGGCGGAGAACGAAACCTTGGAGTATATCACGGAGCACGAACGCATCTTGCAGGAAATCGAGAGCACAGACACTGCCTGCGTCGGCCCCACGCTTCGGTAGGGGAAACCGGTTCTGATTTAGTGGCCGCACTGCGCCGCTCGCGTCGCCTGTCGTGACTCGGGGTGGACCCGCGATTAGGCCTTTGTTCGCTGGCTAGGCTAAGCTAAGCTAAGCTAGGCTAGGCTAAGCTAAGCTAGCGGCGTAGTGACGGACGCCGGGTGTCCGGCTGCCGCAGCATCGCTTGTTTTTTTTCCCCCCAGTAAGCTGGCTGTCTTATACGCGTCCTGTGTACCAATTCAATAACGACACCCTCACGTTTCGCACAGTAAAGTGCCGCGTTTAACAGCCCCCTGTCGTGTAGCGGGTTCACCGCTTCGACGCGACGTTTTATTCGACAGGAGAAGGCGGCTGTTTTAAAGTCTGCGGGCGGCGGGACATTATTCACAGGTTATGATGAAGCGCGACTTCCTCAGCGCGCGCTCTGTCACCCGGGATGCCCTCAGGCGGCTCGCTGGCTCCTTTACACAAACCCTTTAAAAGACCAGTAAATAATATTATTATTGTTAATTATTATTATTGTTGTCACCCTGTCGCCTTTCCTGTGAAAATAGTCTAAGCTTTAGCGACATGTCGCCCCTAGTAACTGGGCTCCGGAGAGCTGAAGGGCCGGTGGGTGTGGCGGGGAGGGGAAGCCGGCGCTGCGTCCGGCAGGGAGGCTGCAGTTAGCGCCCGTTAGCCTGTTAACGTGCCTGGCTCACCATTGTTCGTATTTCACACCAAAGGAAGAGAGAGACAGGCGTGCGTCGAGGGTGAGCCGGAATAATGGTTCTCTGGATGAAGCACAGGCAGGCCGAGCCCTTGGACAGTCGTGTGGCGTTTATTATTTAACACTGACCGCCCTCTTTATTGTGTATGTGAATCGGGGGGGGTCGGCGCACGAGGCTCTGGAGTGTCTGGCTGTGATTGACACCTTATACCCGGCAGCATGGCGCTGTCCTGTGCATCGCTAGTAGACAGTTCATACCTCTTTTATGTGAACTTCTCAAAATATGGCCACAGAAACAGGAGGAAGCGATAAATTACATGCATATTTCAGTGCTGTGAAGTGTTTTACTGGCTCAGATATATACCAGACATAACATTTAGCCATGGCAGACGTGTAGACTATGTACCACACAGAACGCATGTTGCATGCCTTCGTTGTAATGGCAATCAGAAGACTGCCGTGCTTAATTAGGCCGATGATCGGCATCCATTAGGGTTTGCAAACTGCAGACGCCACAGCTGGACAGACCGGAGCCTGCCTTTCTGTCTCCTTTGTCTGCTCCGCATCGCTCTGACCTTGCCCTAGCTGAAAGCTTGAGGCTTTACATCTCCTTCAACAGACGGCATTTTAAGGTCACACAACATCTAAATGCGTTTCGGTGGGACCTTGTCCTCTCTAAAACAGTTATAGAGTGAACATTAACCTATATAGCAGTATGACCAGTTCTTAACTAAATGCTGATTACTTGTGCTGCTTTTGTTGGCCTAAGAACATGAATGTCCTGGTGCTTTAATAGCATACCCACCCATTGTCCCACATTATTGCTCATAATTATACATTTACTTATGACTTAACTTCTCATTGATGCAGTGTGGCAGGTCTTTTGGCATCTGGGCTCTTTGATGGAACTGCTTTTGAGGAAGTACGTAATACATCTGAACAGGTTTATTACTGGGGTGCTGCCTTTAGCAACCAAACTATGCACGCAGAATGACGTCAAGAAATAATAAAAAAAAATGGAAAATAGTTGTTCGTTTCACACTTTCAGAGTGAGGAATCTGTTGATGTGCATTTTGCAGGAGGCATGTCAGGAAAAGCTGCTTTTTAAAAACCTGACCACAACTTTGTTCTTGAGGTGAAGGTTGACATTGAACCGCTGACTTGGAAATTAGCTTCTCTTGCAGGTTTGGTCAGAGGTTTCCTAGAGCATCTCCCCTTTGAACATGAGTCAAAGATGTATATCCTAAAAATATTCTGTCCTGTGGGCCAGTAGGATGGAATATTCTCTCTTCTGTGGTCAGATATCTTACAAACGGTACACTGGTCAAAGGGAAATGAGGAAAAGAGGGGTTACTGCAGTTTTACTGAAAATCACCAAAAGAGAAAAACATGCAATGCATCAGTTTCAGAAATATCGTTTGCGTTTTAATGGGGCTTATGGTAGGTTGCAGTAGGTTTTTATCATTCATGCTGCATCAGAAGTTCTCAGGAAGCTCAAGGAAACCACATGTTGAAAACAATAAACGGACAGACGGGCTGCTGTGACCTCCATTCTTTGAAGTTTTTATCAAGCTGACAACTGCACAGAAAAGCCAGGCTCCCTGAGTGTTGTCTCTCTCTTGGATAAGATAAAATAACACTGTGAAATAACATTATTACTAAACCTGCTGAGTTGAACTCTGTCAAAGTCTCATGGTCTTTATCTCTGAAACGTGATTTACTTTTTCAGTTGTTTGAATTTGATGTTTGTATTAAATTACTAGTCTATTATTGCTACATATTTTATATTAATTGCAGCGTGTGAAGGGCTGTGTCAAATAAGATTTGTTTATTATGTAGTTAAATACTGATATTGGGAGTTAAAGTGCAATTCAGCACGACAGGTGTTCAGTGTTAATTGCAGGGTAATTTTGGTTTTGACAAATGGTTATTCGTATTTTGGCTGCTAGTATATTTTTTTAGGTATCTGACACATTTCACAGAATGACTGATGTGTCACATGGCGTTTTGTCCTGTTAAAACCAATAAAAACTTAAGTAACTGGTGTGGGTCCCTGACAGTTTCACTTACTCGAATGGTTTCAAGGAATGTTTAGACGATGAGACTTTTCATGTTGGATTCCCTTCTCTCTGCAGCAAACCAAATAGCATGAAGGATCGTAATTTTTGGGTTTAAAGATGTATGCACAAGTTTTTCACTCGGGCTTCTATCTCCTTGTCCAGGTTAAGTGAGGAGATGAGGGGGGGGGATGTATTGTTCTCTGGTCTTGGGGCAGTTCCCCTTTATCCCCCCCCCCCCGGCAACCCCAGTGGCCTGGCAGGAAGGTACATCCTTTTTGGTCCGTGGTTTGAAAAAAAAAAACAGGAAGGAGGAAGCTTATTGCGAGCATTGGACTGCTGATTAGCAGGCGGGGGCCCGTGTGCGGAGGATGTCCAGTAGGGCTGCCGGGACGATGCGTGTCGCTCAGCCTCATGCACAGTCACGGCGGTGGTGTCATTACGAGGGTGTGTTGACCCTGGTTATAGGAAGCAATGTTAACTGAAACATCGGCCCCAGACCTTTCCTCCTTATGGAAACAGGATATGATTATTGAGAACAATTTACAGGATTCGGGCATTCAGCAAAACACAGTGGGGGGGGCGGGTGCCTAGGGAAGGGTGGGGGGCATGCTTGTGACAAGGCAGCAGCAAAAAGAAAAATACTTCTCTGAAATCTTAAAGCATTAGTTTAAAACTACTGCAGATTTTGTCGTTTCGGTTGATGATGGCAGACGGGGCAGTTTTGGTCATGTGTATCAATCCCTGTGCTCTCAAGCATTAACAAAGCGGCGTTTCCGATTGATCCGCTCACGGTAATTAAGCTAAATGAGCGTCAGCGTGAAAACCGCAGCGAGCTTTCTGTGAGCCTACAGGTACGGTTTGTTTTCTCGATTGGGGACCGAAATGGAAACATCGGTTTACCCGCCAAACAGATTTCCCTTGCTGATTGTATGACCTTCTGCTGTAGATCATTTGAGTAGATGCCTTTCGGTGACAGTTTCAGTACGTGTCACCTGCTTGCTCTTAACAGTGACTACAGTTAGTGAGCTCAACATCCTTTGTTGTGATGCCTTGGGGGGGGGGCAAAGTGTCTTAGTCCTGTTTTTAAAAGTGGTGAAGAAACTCAGAAAATGTTACTGTGGAAATTACTAGATTTTATCATTCCTTTGGTATTATGGTCACACCTGAGTTTTGCGTGTCTTCAGTTTGCCTTAGGCTCCAATTTTCCGTTGTGTTGAAAGGCCACGGCTGATTTTTAAAGCCTGCTTCTGCAGTCAGGAGGTTGGACTGCCAGGAGATGCCATACAGGCCCAACGACTTTGCCGTTACATGCACGGGGCTGGTCCTCTGGTCACTGTGGACTTGGTGACAGGGTGGAGGAGCTGGAGCATGT